ATCTATCTATCTATCTATCTATCTATCTATCTATCTATCTATCTATCTATCTTCCTATTTATCTATCTATCTGTCTACCTATCTGTCTATCTATCTTTGTAGCGATCAATCTAAAAATATTTCATAATAACCAAAATATGAATGACTTGAAAAATGTTTCCGGGAAGTATGCGACCGGTTTTGTGATTATGGTTGCTCATCATAAATATATGTATATATATATATATATATATTCCCACACATTTCAGAGTCTGTACGATGTTCCAAAAGAATCACATTGCTATAATCTTGTAAACCCAAAAATAATCAATGTTAGAGAATATAGTTTTCAAGCTTATATATTCTACTTAGGAGCCAACTTATAGTGTCAAACGCATAAGGAGTTAATAGCTGTCACTTTGGCGCCCCAGAAGATTCGGTTGAAACTTACGCTCTCCGTAAGATTGACCGGTTCGCTTCAGCACGTCCCACCTTTCCCAGTTGGATCAGTGTCCCAATTTCCTCAGCAGGCTATGCGATCGTAATAAGTTGCGCTAGAAATATCAAGAAAAAGTGTATTATCTTTCTTTGGAGTTTTTGGTTGGCGTTCTCGTCAGAATGATGCAGGTTGACGTGTAACTTTAGGGCATTCTTTAAAACGCGTATCGGTATTTCAAATTCCATTAGTCGGCCATTCAACGTGATTTATTATTAAACGTTAGCATAGTTATTATGCTAACTGTCATGCAAAGGTCGACATGTCATTCAATCTGCAATCATTCAATCATTCAATCTATGGACAAAATTATTTATGAACCGTGATTTTATGAAGATGCGTTCTGATGGAGATCAGTCCATGTGTTTTATCGTCTTCGGCATTACTGCCTTGTGTATCATCTAGATGACCTAATGCCGATTTATTTACATACCGTAGTCCCCATTCAGTCAAAATACTATCAAGATTCTTGAACGTTATCGGCTAGTGAATTTTTACTGCATCGGTTTTGTGGACATTCAGTGCTCTAACTATGAGTTAACAAAAGGTGAGATACCGAAAAACAATGATTATCTTATACATATTTCCTGAAGGTCAGTGCTGTTCAAACCTGGCAGACACGGAACGGGTCGATCTTAACAGTTATCGATCGATCAACTCAGTACAGTCTACTTTAAAACGGTGGACGCTTCACGATGAACAGCAAATTCGCTGGTGGAACAGTTCTTGCCCATTTTCTCACAGACGAGACTGGCCCGAATTGTGGTGATTTCACATTCAACGAACAGGACTTACTCTTACTATGCAGTCGCGAGATCAATCTGAACGATCAACCGGCCCAAGTGATGGTGAGCCATCCGAAAATTCCAGGTCTTTCGTGGATAATCTTTTTCTATCAGACATCACCTAATCAGTACCAGCCACGAATTGCATTCGATTTTCCGAGTTATTTACGTGCTGATTGTGAAGTATGTATTCAGTTTGCGGGCATGCATTGGATTGTGAAACACAAATTCGAGGGTAGCTCATGGCTCACATCCAGTTTACCACCGAAAGCAATGAACGAACGTTGGGTCACGTTGGGTACAGTGAAAAAAGTGGAAATACGTGTAAATATTACCAAAATTTGGTTCAAATTCCCGGTTTTCACCGCATGCTGTCATCCGTTAAAAACGAAGCGATTCGTTCGACAGCCTGATTTTACAATGCCCGATCATTTTTCTGATGTGCAATTGTTACCCCAAGATCCAAGCAATCGACGTTTGTTTGCGCATCGCCAAGTTTTGGCCATGAATTCGCCGTGGTTCTCAGAACGATTTCGTAGTGCGTCAACTCTGAACACCGGCGATATTGGGCCAATCATTTCGATCCCGTTTGATTATGAGACCGTATTGAATTTCTTGCATTTTATTTATCCAAATGGAGATTTAAATATCACGGCAGAGAATGTGGAAGGTTTGATGGATATGGCCAAAGAATACCAGATGCCAAATGTGATCCGAAAATGTGAAAAATGGATGTATCAGTTTATGGAAGGTGGCTCGGCCGTGTTGTGCTACTATTTGGCTAGAAAACATGAATTACCCCAAGTGCAAGAGGCTGCATTGCTTCATTTGGCTGAGCTAAATTCCAGCCAATTACGGGCACGATTGAATTTGGACATGAAAGGCAAATCACCGGACACACAAGAAGTACTGCTTAGCGATTTGTGCATTCGATTGGCAAGTTCGTGAGCTACACCTAGCACGTACATATTTACTCCTTCCCCACCGTGTCGAATGCGCCATTCAGTGTAAACGTGTGTCTAGTCGGGGGAGACCAGATGGGAGTGGGGTAGAGAGATCGTGTCGAACAGAATCATTCAACCGTGAGATTTGACAATTCACGTTACGTCATCGAATCGCATGAATATTGTACTTGATCCTACCCTATCCCTGAACTTGTTCCCAAATGCCGTCGTGCTAACTAATAACAACCAATANNNNAATCGGTTGCATGATTACTTACCTTGTTCACTATGTTTTATGTTCAATTTAGAGGTCCCATAAGTTTTAAATATGTTGTTTACAGTATACTAACCCCAATACTAAAAGGGGGCATATGATTAGATTATACAATGAAGTGAAAATAAGCAGCATGCAACCGAGTGAACGATATTTCACAGGACAAACATACCAGGTTGTCTGGTTCTCGACGCTCATCAGGTTTGCATATCCGTATCATAGTGCTTACTGATGTGTGAACTTCTCAAGGGCTTCCAGAGATGCAAACTCGAAATTTTCAGATCGAACTGATTGGAAAGTACAGGTGGATCCATTGATATTTGTATAATATGATGTTTCAAGTATACTTCCCCAAAGGGAATACAACAAAGAACGCGAGGGATTCGATTGACTTTCGTAATCATTTAGCAATATCTAGTTTTTTTCCAGATACTTCCTGCTAGGGCGGTAACCGTACAATGTAGTTTCATAATTTGAGTTGGAAATCAAATGAACAAGCTGTCAGTGCAGTCCACTATGGTCTAACACATACTGGTGTTGTATTAGGCAGAAGTCTAAAGTAGAACGTGAACAAGTGATACACAGTGCTTGCGGTAGTACAGATTATTTCATGACTGGAGATCTAGCAATGTTGGATCAAAAATTCACCAATGAGTAGCCCTATAGTCCTGATCGTGGAGGGGGAGAACAAAGGAAGATCATAATGCGTATTACATCAGAAAGAAAGGCGCTTTTACAGGTTAGATTCTTATGCTTGTCACCTTTCTCGGGCTCTGAGCAGGATGGGCTAGTGGACTGATGTATGAAATGAGAAACAAGGTGGGATTGCAACCCCGTCGAGACCAATTGGTACTGACAAATTGAAAATGAACCAAGCTAACTGGAGAAGCGAGAAAAGCCTGAGACTTGATACAAAAACTTATGAAAAAGTTGAACTAATAAATAGTTCTAGTGGCAACTAATGCTTTTGTTAAACATCTCGTAGTTCAAATCGTCGGATGAACGCTGTTCACTAGCTTGAGTGGAATGTGAGTGACCGAATTTCACTGATACCTCTGATCATCTAAAAATTAGAGTACACTGAAGAGTATTTGTCAAGCCTTCAGAACTATAAATGTTTTCATACTTCATTGCGTAACGCTCATAACCAAGGAACTTGCTAAGATGTATTCTAGAGCTTTTTTAGTGCGTTCAATGTTGTATAATGGGTAAAGCCCATAACCAGGGAAATCTACTGTTCACTCATGAGAGCCCGCGCCTAAGCCCCGGGACTTGGAGTATAAAGGTCCCAATAGTGTACCCGTGGTATTTAGTCCGGTAAAAGCTAATCCGCCCACCTGAGATTTTGATTCAGAATCTGAGTCTCCCACTCACGGGATGCATTGAAATTTTCAGGAAAGCCTCACAGAGATCTACAATGCAGCGGGCGGTTTTGTATGTTAGTGGACGGATTATCGAAACGCTTCTTTCCAAGCTCTCTTAAGTGGTTGGTGGATCGCTGGTAGTTCACCTAGGGGAGTTTACAAAAATCCTGATTCCAAACCAACCATGAGGAGGCGTACGAACCACATACAAAGCTTCCTGGTTGTGGCTCTGGTCCTCAGCTCGATTGGGCATCAAGGTGTATTGGGCACCGTGGATGTTTGACCTCGTCCGAAAAGCGTATGATCCGATAAACTGGACACCGGCCTCCAATGGATTACGGTTTTTGCACACCACCTGGCTGCTTTACTGATCAGGCTTTGGCTAGTCAAAGACTCCGGTCGTGGATTCCCCAAGCCTGGGTAACCTGACAGTATTGAGCCCACAAGCCAATCATGGAATGTTTTTGTGTTTCATAGAGATTATCGTACCACGATGTTTTTGGTACATAGTCTGGATTCAGACGTGTGTGAATATAGATATATCTCCTAAGTGTCATGAAGAGGCAAGGGAAGTGAATCAGTCTTTGATGTGATTGGAAGAATGACGAGGGTCGATAAGCAACTTGCAACATGAACACTTACCATAGAGTTAAATAACTATTGTAGTAAGAATAAGTTTTACCCCACAATGCGTGCATGTTACTTCGATTTCGGTCATAGTCTTGGGGAAAAGGATTGGATATTTGATCGAATGAGACAACAGGCATGATAGATCTAGTGGTATAGCTAAGTTTCATTTGGATTGAACGGAGGGATATTGTGGACAGATTCCAATCGCCCATATCGTGGT